ACAAATTGGATGTATGAGATAAAAATCCTTGTGAACATTACCGTTACAAAAAAATAATACATTAAATATTATTTTAGAAAATAATATATGATTAAACTGTTATTTCAAAGTTAAATAACCTTGCAGAACTTGCATAATGCAAATTGATAACATTTTAATTATTTCAATTAGCAATGAATGATGGAATGAATTTCAATTAATAATTTAAATTTTTCCTATCATTTAGTAATAAATAGTAAAAATAAAGGATTTTAGTTGATAATTAACAAACAATGAGCTTATGATAAACAATAAAAATAAAGGAGTTTTAGTTAAATAACAATGGGCTTATGATAAAATTGCATGTAAGAGATAAAAACTCCTTCTGAATAGTACTCGTTAAAAAAAGGTAACAAATTAAATATTTTCCCTATTTTTTAGTAATGACCATTAAAAATACTTGTGCTTTTAATTATATAATAATAATAATATCTTATGAGTTATATTTTTGTCAACTAGCTTATTACCCGGTCCGTTGGCCGGATTACTGTATGTTACCCATTTGTGGAATGGGAGAGAAAGTAAGTGAGAGTGAAGGGATTGAGATTCCACTTGATTAGGACCGACCCACTAATCCAATTCTTCCCGACCCGCCCCAACCTACAGGGTCAGAAAGAGTCAATAAGAAAATACGAACGGGGAGGATTAGTCATATATCTTGACTCTTCAGAAGTGGGTCAAACATGATCAAGGTTGGGTGAGGGCAATTTTTAGCGCTAAGCAGAGTTCTGGGTTGAATACCTTTACTTAGGCCTAGAAATTGGTGCTGATGCAGACTGCAGTTTTTATTATACCATCATCAATCATCATTGAATTAGTCCTGGGCATCCCTCCCCGTTGTCGGTCTGAATTCTAATGATGGCTTCATTCCTTGCACCAGCCATATCAGCGAGTTGCCATCTCGAGCATGATTTGCCTATGTACAAATAATACAATTAGAGTATGAAAATGAATTCAATGAAAAGGAAAAGAGAATTCTATCACATGCCAATAAATACACACATAATAGTTGAAGCTAAGTGAAAGTCATTACTCGCACATCAATTTTCAAAAATTACAGACTAAACATTGGCTAGAATGGCACTGAAACTACCAAGAATCATGGACGAAACAACTTGTCAAATTAAATAATCCTTATACTGAAACTACCTTCTAACTTGAAATAAGACATGATCACAGTTCATAGCTCTCTTCTCACTATGAATTGGTTGCAGCTCGTCCTTATCACTGCCTCTCAAGCTCAATTCAAACAGAATAGAGACCGTTATGTAAGATAACCATATTCTTACTGATCATAATTCTTTTCTTCACTCCATTTTTGTCGGAGAAAAGAGTTATCCCCCTCTCCTGCATTTCCCTGTCCCCCTCTCTTCTCCCTCTTCTTCACAAACCGATCCCTAAACCAGCAACAACAACATAAAAATATCCTTCGCCTCTCCCGTCTCCATCTATTGAACGCGTTGGTGGCAAGACAGGACTGCAGAAGCAAAATTTTCTAAAATCAAACTAAATTTTTTGAAGCAGACTCAACCACGAAAAAAGAGTAAAGCAACAATGCAGTAGAACCCTAAATTTAACTACAATCAAGCACATATCAGCAAGATTTTCGATTTGTCTGAGAGTTAACTACACGGAGAGAACAATTGATGCATAATTGAAATGCTCCAAGCAAGTTGAAGGCAAACCATAACTTTAGAATTTGGTCATTATAATAACCTTCAAGTATTGATGCTTCTAAGAACTATCATGTCCAACCCCCACTTATACAACTACGTAGCCATAGTAATTAGTTGTATAATGAGAAATATTACAAAGAAAACTACATAAACAACCAATGTAAGTAAATATTAAAACTAACAACTGATAAAACTTAAAATCTCTCTATTGGTATAAATGTATCTATTAGTAACTACTATGCAATCGAGTATATATGATTTTTAGGCACTGAATAAGAAAAGTATAGATGGCTCACAAATGAAGACGTAGCAACTGAAGGTAGCACACAAAAACCAAAAATAGAAAAAGAGATAAGAAAAAAGGCGAGAAAAAGTCAAACAAAGAAAAAGCCCACATAGGAATACCTCGCTAGCTTTAGGGACTCTCTGCCACAACAAACAACCTTCTTAAAAATCTAACACCCTGAGACATCAAACAAACCTCCCACGACACTAATGTATGGCATTCCTATTGTCCAATAGGTTTGCCAATTTAGACTTCTAAATAAATGGACTTTTCACCATTAAACCAAAACTCACAATCATTAACAGTTAATACAAAGACATACATTTCTGAGGCAAATCACATCATTTAAGCATAATTTTTAGTTGAAAAGAACAACTAAGTATTTAGCTAAATGATATAGTAGAATGGACACAATCTGCTACCTACTAATGATATAAACGTGTACCGGTACCATCGTTGTATCCTGACTTGCCATTTGCAACGGGCACTTTGAAAGACAGCTGCATTTTAGAGAATAAACACCCATAAGGGCGTTACGAAACCAAGCTTAATCCAAAATCTTCATATTCCACTTCGAAGACTCCATTTTCAAAAATAAGAGAGTTTAACATGTCAAATCACTCATTTGAAAAATCTCAAACAACTATTAATCAATGCAATATAATGGCACGTTCCAAATTATGTACTTGTAGGAATAATCCCAAATAATTATCAATTAATGCCCCAACTACCTAATGTGCAGAATAGCCCTGGAGTTGTGTTGTTGTTTGCGTTGATCTACCTTCAAACATAACATAGTTGCATCACGAACCAAAGCAATTAAGCAAAAATCTTCATATTCCAAGTAGAATGACTCAATTCAATTTGGCCAACGCTTTATACATATTGTTTACCCCTGGACCTGTTGCACTTGCGCCTTCAGATCTTCGTGAACACAATACAATTGCGGAGAGGAGGCTGTCAACGGAATAAAAATCGTTAATTAAGTGAATCACCATACAACTAAACAAACGCGCTCTTCTTGATTAGCTATCAAAATAGTGGGGGTCGCTACAATCCATCGGTTGCTCCCTCTGCGCCTAAGTTGTAGATATTAGGTTTCAGTGAGAACTTTGAGTACATGAGGAGATATTTTGTAGTGGAGGAGATGACCCGACGAGTAGAATAGGAAGATTTGGAGAGGCTGCGATGGGCAAAGCAGTTAAAATCGAGATTTTACCTAAAATCGAAAACTGGGGTAAAATCAAAATCGTATAATCGAATCGTAAAATCGTAGGATTTTAAGTACCATATAGAACATAGCATATAAGAATATTAATAAGGTAAATTATTAATATCAAAAAGACACATAGCATTTAAAATGATAATTCAGAAGATTTTTTTTTCATAAGATAATTCTCAAGATTAAGTAATGTTAGTGGTTTGGTACAAATATATTCATTAATAAATTAATTAGTTAATAATGATGTTAGTTCTTACATACTTCCAATATTAGGACAGGTGTTTTACCAATAAGTTAAATGGGGTGAAGGGAAAGAGATTAACCGAACCCTAATTTGGTTATTTTTATTATTTTTGAATATTTTTCTAATAGAAAAATATCTGAGAAGATTCCATTGCCCTTTCCGCTGAAACAGTTATACTTATTTTAAATTGGCTCAAACCACCTATTTTGTTCTCTTACGATCAAAATCCCGATTTCGGTACTATTTTACGATTTTAACGATTTTAGTCCCGATTTTAAACGATTTTAAGGTCCACCGATTTTATAGTAAAATCAAGATCGGAATCCCTAAGTAAAATCCTAAAATCCTACGATTTTACGATCAAAATCCCAAATTTGACTGCATTGGCGATGGGTGCACGATTAGTGGGCCAAATAACAGTTTGGGCCCGTTTAAATGAAACATATTTTTACTTTCGTGCTCAACAGACCGACCGCACTGGCATCTTCTAAATTTACCCCTAAAAAATTGCTCTGTACGCATCAAATTTGAAATGGAATCCCTCTTTTCTCATTTCACATTTCACATTTCACATTTATATGATGTGTAGATTGTGATGAGTGTAGATGTAGACCTGTCATTGTCCTACAAATTCATTAACACGCCAAAAAGTGGTGAAATGAGCCACCCTATTAAACACAATCTTGTATAATGATCATTGGATCCAATCATGCCAGATTATGAAGAAGTTTAAAATGTAGCGGTTATCCCGACTAAAACATTAAAAGAACCAGTCTCATATAGTTTGCACAAAGATATAATTTCTCCATAGTAATTCTGAAAAATAATATTAATTTAAGAAGTCGATATTGCTTCTACATGTTTAATATTGCAATTCGATATGCAATATTCGAACCAGTGATATTTGGGTTGCAATTTTAGGGTTATTGTATATTTATAAAATGGATAGAAATTTAAATTAAGTATTAAACTACAACTAAAATAATCAAAGTATTAAAACACCAAATAAGTACTTACGGGAGATTCAGTGGCCAACTAATCGTTAAAAAAGTCATATGATTTTCATAATTTAGGTTCGTGTATGTTTGAATTTAAATAGATACAATAAATATACTTAGTGTGATTGGTTATGATCCTTGCTTGCCTTTAAAGAGACCAAGGTTCAAATCCCAGTGCATGCCTTTTTTATGAATAAATAAATAAGAAAATAAGCAATTGTGAAGACCAAAATGTCCTTCCTATAATCACTCTCGTTGCAGGAAATTTGAAATGGAGCAACAGTTTTCATCATTCGGCTTTTATTTATTATCTAGATTCTTTCATGCAAACATTACTGTTCTCTCTTGGACTCGCTGCAAAGTGCAAATGAGCATGTCTTATTAAAAACAAGAACTATAACATTCAGACACTACAAATATCAGAACGACACGGTTGAGGTGTCACCATTTGCAGCCAAGTCGACGACGCCTTTGCTAGAGGCGATTTCTATGATCTTTATCATACAACCTGGGGAACTTTCTGGCAATGAGAGAATCAATCTGCGGCCAAAACTGAATTCTGAAGCTTGGCTAGAGCAGCGCGGGTAAAATAATACCACCTAACCCAAACGTAAATCCTAATTCTAGACTTAGGGGATCCATGAATTCCTGTACCAGATTTCATGTAGTTGACGCCGACTCTTGAGGTACCGCTATCTGAACAAGATTCAGCCAATGGACTACCACATAAACCTGGATTACCTTTGTATGAAGTATTGTCAAATGTCTGGAGCTGCCTGCACGTAGGGATGCTTCCAGCGAGATTGTTATTTGATAGGTTGAGGACCGAAAGGAATGTTAAGCCAAAGAATTGCTACGGGATCGGACCACTGAGATTGTTGTCGGAGAGATCTACCTACTCCAGATGTGACAGGTTGCCGAAAATTGATGGAATCTCTCCCTTAAAAGCATTACGAGAGATGTTAATGAAGTAGAGTCATGTGAACTTTTCTATGGTTTCTGGTATCGACCCATCAAAACTGTTGCTTGAGAAATCAAGGAATTTATATACCGTTGGGATCTTCACTAGTTCCATTTCAAGGCTCTTGCTGGTAACAAATATGGAATCTCGATAATCCACTCGAGCAAGAAAATCGGCCTCATATTTGAGGTGATCAAGCTTTTCATTTCCATCTCTCATGACTGCTACCCAGTTGGCTAAGTAGTTTTCATTTATGCAACAAAAAAATTATTGAAAGTTATGTCGATGATGTGAAGCTTTTGCCAAGTACCTGGAGGGAGTGGGCAACCAATGCTCCCCTCGAAGAGGTTGTTCCTCAGGATAATGACATACAAATTGGAGATGTTACCCAAGAAACAAGGAAAGATGTCTGAGATTTTGTTGTTTGCCAGGTCTAAAACTTCTAATACACCGCAGTTCTGCAGAGATTTTCGAATCCTTCCCTGTAACCGGTTCCCACTGAAATCAAGATTCCTTAGCGAGCAGGAACCATGAAATGTACCAGGTATGCTGCCACTGAGCTTATTTTCCTTCAAAATTAAGACACTAAGCACCTTGTAGTTTACTAAACAACTTGGAATTGTGTCGTTCAAATTGTTGTTTGACAAATCAAGGACTTTGGGAAATGGAGCATCACAAATACTTGTAGGGATAGCTCCTACAATGCGATTGTTGGACAGTGAGAAGAACACCGAATATGTTAGATAATTGCTCATTTCTGGTGGAATTGAACCGTTGAAAAAGTTGTGAGAGTATTCCACGTAGTGGATGATAGATCTTGACGAAACCATTGGAAACTTTCTTTGAAGCTAGTTGTCATGCATGTCCAAGACAGAAACAAGACACAGCAGAGATGTTGGTGCCTCGACGAGGCGGTTGTGTGATAGATTGAGATGAGCCAGTGTATTTGATTCTAGAATCCACTAAGGCACCACCCCACCAATGTTGTTTCTCGAAAGGTCTAGCTCCTTGAGACTTGATTGGTTGTCAAACTCCTGAAACATTCCCAAATTGCTCCATGTTAGTTTCAAAATCCGAAACTGAGGGAAAATGGACAATAAGGTAGAGTTGGTGAAGACACTTACATCCACTGTCATGCGGTTGTATGAAAGATCAAGAGCGTCGAGATTTCGAAGGGATTGGAACCATTTTAAGGGCACAGTTGCAGTGAATCTATTGGCTGGAAGTAGGAGGACTTTCAGTGTTCCAAGACCTTCCAAATTGTTGCCACTCAAATCCAAAGTGTCCAGCACTAAAGAAGTAACATTAGAAAACTCTAGAGCTTGACCCTTGAGTTGGTTGAAGGAGAGATAAATCTTCTGCAGGGATGAAATGGAGAACAAAGACAAAGGGATGCTTCCGCTGAATGAATTGTGGCTAAGGTCAACATACTCGAATTTCTGAAAGCCTTCCCAGTGAGCCGGTATGTCGCCCGCTAATTGGTTGTAAGATAAGTCTAGGTGTATTAGAGTCTTAAGCATCAATAGTGATATCACTAGCCTTTGTGAAATTGTTGTGCGAAAAATCCAAATACTCCAGTTGAGTTGGATTCTCCAGCCACCTTGGAATTGGTCCACTGAAATAACATCCCAAGAGATCCATCCTTGATAACCTGCCATGGGTTTTCAAGGACGAAGGCAATGCCCCTGAGAAGCTGGTGTTGCTGAGTATCAGAGTCTGCAACATAGAGTACTGAGTGAAATCTGAAAACTTGCCTTCAAGCAAGTAGTTATTTGATACCGTCAACACTCTCCAGTCCCAGAATTCGCAGTATCTTTGCAGGGTTCCTGAAAGAAGGCACGAGCTTAGAGTCAGGACAGTAAAGTTTCTGAAATCTACAAAAAATCAGGGACGGAAAGAAGAGGTGATTGTGATCCAAACGAACAATCGAGAGAGATTGAAGCTTTGAGAGGGAGGGGTGAATAGGGTTTGAAAGGAGGCAGGACCACATGCTCAACACTTCCAGATCCGATAACGAAGAAGCCAAGGCCTGACACCATTCATCCCCTGAAGATGATATGTGTTATCAAGACCGAGCCAGACCGGCGGTCGAATCGGTTTAACCGCCACCCGACCACCAGTTCGGCTCGGTAAAGTTAAATAATTGGAGCGGCTGGAATGGGCGGTTTTCGAGCGATCAGAACGATTAACCATTCGATCCATTCGAACTGCCCAATCGGTTTTTTACATTAAAAATAAAAAAATTAAAATCACTAAATCTCAAATGCTGGGTTGAAGTCGTGAGCCCATCATTTTGGAGCCCTAATTATTTTGCAAATCGTGACTGAAGCCAGTCATTTTCGAACTCCCTTCCTCTGCTCTCCTCCTGGCAAACCCGACGGAGAAGGAGAAACCGTCGGAGAAGGACGACCTCTCCTCCCCTGCCCTCCTGGAAAACCCGCCGGAGAAGGCGACCTCCTCTATTCTCCTCAAGGCGGCGAACCAGCAGAGAAAGCTCGACCTCTCCTATTCTCTTTGAAGTTTGAACGAAAGTAGAGAAGGCACACTCAACGAAGTAGAGAGGGGATGGAGGAAATTGATCGTTTATGGTGGAAACAGAGAGGAAGTTTGGTGTCTTTTACTTTTGAGGGAGGAAGAAATATTTTGACGAAACAGAGGGGGAGGAGGATGGTTTGGGTGGCGGGGTCGTTGGTGGGGAATGAGGATGAGTGTAGCGAGTAGGGTTTTTTAATTGGTATATATAATATAAAATTACCACATGGTACCTATAAATTAAATTTTAATGTAGCCATTATATTTTCAAATTACTAGCTTATGATATTGTTGTTAATAAGGTTCCAGTTCTCTAACGGTCCTATACCGGTTGGACCACTAAAATGCGAGTCGTTCACATTATCGGGTCATACTCTATTTAGATTCTGAAAACATTGATGGTATGTCCACACCGTCGAAACCAAGGTGTACCAGTCCCGTCATATTTTGAACAAGTGTTGCAAGATCACTCGAGCTCTGTATGTTTCGAGGAAAGACAGGGTCGAGGAAGTTCCCCGAGACTTCAAGGCTGACCAAGCTACTCATCCGGGAGATGGAGGCAGGAATCTTACCGAAAAAGCTACCACTAGATAAATTGAGATACACAGATTCGTGAGGATGGCGAGCGCAGTCGAGACAAGCGTGTTGAAGTTGTTCAAAGACAAATCCAGGGCCCCGAGATATTAGAGACTGAAGAGGAGATTGGAATTGTCCAATCCTCCATGGATGGATTAACCGCTCAGGTTGAGGCCGATGACACGACCGAAGCCACCCAGATCACAGTTTATGCCGAGCCACTTGCAGCACTCGGTGTTTGAATTCCATCCAGCAAGTTTTGCAGCATATGATGTGTTGAATGATCTGAGGCACTGCTTTGATTGTAGCAAAAGCCATTGCTGGTAGGGATGGCAATAATATCCGTAACCGTGGATATCCGCCCGAATCCGACCTAATTGGGTAGGGTAAAACCCGAACCCGAAGGCCTTTTAGTGGGTACGGGTAAAACCCGAACCCGAATATTGCGGATAATGGGTGGGCATGGTTTTCTCACTATCCAACCCGAACCCGCCCGATTATACACATGCATATGTATTTTGTCTAGAAATAATCAATATTATTATCTTATATATTTTATATTTAGCATATACATATAATAGTTTTATGAAATTGTGTTGTTTTAATTAATTTTCTTCATTCTAGCGAATTATTGTCGTACTTTTTGTCTTACGTAACGTGAGAATATGTGTCAATATTAACATATTGGTTGGAGTTATAAAGAAAAACTATTACCCATGGATAACCGTGGATACCCGAAACCCGAACGGGTATGAACATGGTTTAAATTTTCTACCCGTTTCATATGTGGGTATGGGTATGAGTAAAACCCGAACTACTCTGGGTAGGGTAGCGGATATGCACTATCCGTCCCCGACCCAACCCATTGCCATCCCTAATTGCTGACCCTCCTGGCATTCCCCCGAAACCAAACTCAGACTGATGGATAGAAGAAGATACGTGAATAGAAACTAAGTGAGAATTTTTTGAGGAGGTTTCATTAGTCAGAATCTAGAGGCACTACTCGCCATGTAATGGACTGTGGAGGAGATGAATAAGCAGATATAGTTGGAATTCAGCAATGAAATCAAGCGACAGCTGTAGGAATTTTCTTCATGAACCAAATTTTAGACTTGGTCATAGTTCACGGCTGACCCAGCAGAAGACATGTTGTACATATTTGTTGGTCGCCAATTTCTTTTCTCTGGCAATGCTTTGTAGTGAAGAAGTAAATGCTCTCCAATCAAATAAATGACAAACCAGGAAGTCTTCTTCCTATAGTCTTTGCAAGTGAAGTGCTCCATCAAGATTTGTGGTCGACTGAGCTAATAATCAAGGGTGGTAGCAGTAAGAAATTGACATGCTTGGAATTGTTTGCCATTGTGATGAGCCAGTGTCGGTACAACTGCCAGTTCAAGTCGAGTGAATGAGTCCTCTTTCTATGGAGATGTAAGAGATAATGCAAAGACTTAGAAATCAACGTGCGGACTCTCTCTCCCTCGCTTAACTTTCTTATTGATTTGGCTTCAGTTAGTGTCGCCGTTAAACAGAGATTTTGTTGCTCTGTTTTTTATTTTATTTCTGTAACTGCAGCCTTCAGCAGGAAAAGGGTGGTTGGGACTTCGGACTAAAACTTGTGCAAACGACGAAACACTCGGTTTTTTATACTCAACAAGATACATGGTTGTTGTTTTCAGCTGAGCTGGTTCTTCCACGTTTTGGATTTGAGAATCGGAATAGGTGGAGACTTCTGGGGTATTTTTGGGGCATGGATGCATGCTTATAAGTTTGCTGAAGCACGTTCAAAATGTTGGGTCTTTAGCGGATGAGGGTATACGTACGATAGCCTGAGACCAGGTGATCAGGATTGTGATAGAGTCGTGAACAACGTTCACTTTGCGAAAAGAATATTTCCACCCTCTACAAAGCCTTGGGTTACAGGAAATTTCTCCTGAGGATAAAACTATCACCACTTTAGGTTCTAGGCTCAAGAACTCTAAAGCATGCTTAGAAATTTTTGGAAGAAAGAAGAAGAATATGTTTGATGGTCTGTGGCAACATCAATCCCACACATATATTTATAGGGGCCGAATCCATGCATTGTTTCATGAACGGTTGCCTTTATCCATATGTAAGGTTATCCTTATCCATATGAAGGGTTGCCTTTATCCATATTCATAAAATAATGCAACCGCCACTAGGCCAAAGAGATGTGTCCCTTCATGAAAATTAGAATATTGCTTCGGTCGGTCTAATCCCAAACCGGTTGGTCGGTCCAACCCAAAACCGGTTTGACTTGGTTAATCCAGTTTAACCAAATTTTCAACATTCCTCCCCCATTTTAGTGTATTCATAGAATTCACTAAAATCACAACATTCTTCCAACAAAACTTAAGCATAAATGAAACACAACCTTTCGTATGGATAAAGGCAACCGTTCATGAAACAATGCATGGATTCGGCCCCTATAAATATATGTGTGGGGTTGATGTTGCCACAGACCATCAAACATATTATTCTTCTTTCTTCCAAAAATTTCTAAGTATGCTTTAGAGTTCTTGAGCCTAGAACCTAAAGTGGTGATAGTTTTATCCTCGGGAGAAATTTCCTGTAACCCAAGGCTTTGTAGAGGGTGGAAATATTCTTTTCGGAAAGTGAACGTTGTTCACGACTCTATCACAATCCTGGTCACCCGGTCTCGGGCTATCATACGTATACCCTCTTCCCCTAAGGACCCAACACAAAATCGGTGTCTCTCTTCCCACTTTCCTTTTTGCGTTCTCTGTTTTACATTCATACTCTGTCCTTCCTTTTAATTTATTAAAGGGTCTTTAAATGAGTTATTTGGGTGCAAATAACCTGTTTGTCTACAAACGTTGGTGATGAGTTATTTGTACTTGAGTTAATTTGAAATAACTCATTAATGAGTTATTTTCAATACCTCATAGGAGGTAGTTATTGTGAAATAACTCAAAAATATCACATTCTTATTTTGTGAGGAATTCCACTTTTATATTAACTCGTTACACAACAACTCATCAAAACGACCCCTAAATTGCAGAGCAGCAGCTCTGATCAGCTCCGGCGTGTTCCGGCCCCTCTTTTCGTACCGAAGAAGCGACCGTGGTAACTCACAAATATCACATTCTCATTTTGTGAGAAATTCCACTTTTATATTAACTCGTTACACAACAACTCATCCAAACGAGCCCTAAGTTGCAGAGCAGCAGCTCTGATCGGCTCCGGCGTGTTCCGGCCCCTCTTTTCGTACCGAAGAAGCGACCGTGGGCTCTAGGGGAGACTTAGTTGTAACTTGTAAGGGCTTTACCTGGTTGGGCCTGTGATTCCACTTGAGCCCAATGAGTGATTGAATTGAGTTGGAGAAGAGACTGATTCGTATATTGATGTTTGTTACTCTCTTCTGGAATTTGGCAATAATGAACCTGGAAACCTGGGAATTTCCCTTTGAACCATGCACGAAGGTAGCTTTAATTTAGACACATCAAGGAGACAAGTATGAATCTCCTAGTACTGTCAGAGTGTCGGGTGAAATAACCTCAGATGAATTTAGTGATGTAAATACATAACAATGTATGTCAGTGATTAGGTTGGTTATTGACTTTCTTTCGTATAAAATCAAAATTTAAATTTATTTGTACAGAAAATCATACTATTCACGATATTCAAAATGGTACCCATCCGTGGCGGACCCAGAAATTTCATCCGGGGTGTTTAACATTTTCATAATGATCCAATACTTAAGTGTCTTTTGGATCCATAAGTTCATCAATCCAATCTATTTGACACCTCTTATAAGCACTAAATCCCAAAAAAAAAAAAAAACTTTCCATGATTTTCCCCTTCCACACAATCACTTGTTGGCAAAGATGAAGGATTGAGTTTGAGTCCACTGTTTAGGCAACCATTTCCTTTCCTTTTCCCACGGCCCACAATTATCACTAATCTCCTCCTATTCTGAGACCCTGAAACAGTAGAAATGGATTCACCTCCGCCATTTCCGGAATGGCAAAAACCACAGTCCAGTCTAATGTGCCATGGTTTCTGCAGCTGCAATCGCTATCAACATTAACGAAGGGCTAGGGTGTTCAAACGGTGTAGTTATCGTGGTAACTGTTTAAACCGGTAGTATTTGGATGGTTTGGTTAATTTGGATAATTGGTTTGGTTAACTTTTTAGCTTGTTTGGTTAGGTGGTTTGATTTGGTTTCAGACACTCATAACCGATCAAACCAAATTAACCAGTTATGTAATTAGCTAAATATATAATATATTATAAAAACATACTTAATACTTTGCATAATGTAAGATAATTGTATTAGTTACATGTATATATGTTAAGGGTTGACTATAATTTTGGGCTGATTGTTATGTGTTATTCATTATATAAATTGTGAATTGATGTTCTAACCAGAATTTTTTCTCACTTAATGATAATGTTATGGTATATTGGTTATTTTGGTTAACCAATTAACCAAATCGATTAAACTTTATTAGTTTGGTTAATTTGTTTGTCGTATTAGTTTGGACGGTTTGATTATGATATTGTCTTCCATAGTTAATAACATTTAGACTTATTTGATTTTGTACTTATGATGGTAACCATTTGAACATCCCTATCAAAAGCCACATGCCATGGATTCAATCCCATTTCACTGATGGATGGATAGATGGATAGTCATATATTGTACCAGTCTACGTACTAGTGGCAGTGTGGATCGGAAAATTCAGAAACAATAAGTCATTTTCAGGGGCAGGGAATCCAAAGACCATGTAAGCCATAAATGTGGTTTTGGATCCATGTAATTATGTGTTATGTGTCCTGAAAGTGAAGTGCTTCGTCCTCCTCGCACCCCGGAGATCAGAATGGGTGAAATGAAATGAAGCTCATTATGTGTGGATAAAACTGAGAATCTATAGATATGATGAGAGCATCCACGATATGCAAAGTTCGAATTTTGAGGTCGACAACTAACGGAGAGAAAAGTATATGAACGAGAGAGAAAGATGAAAGTGGAGTAATAAAAACAATAGTACAATTTGATGAGACCCTTACTTACATCTTCACGAACCCAATTCCTAACACTTTTGATCCCGAAATTTAGGGCAGATAGAATTCATTTTTCAACTATATTAACATTCCAAACATAGAATATATGAATGAAATTGAAAAATGAAATTTTAAATTTTAAATTTTCTGTCTATCCAAATAGGCTGCCTGTTAGAGAAAGAAAATTGTGTTAGTTATGTCTTTCCGACGATGAATTTGACAAGTCTCACCTCATTGGGAGAGAATTGAGATGAATGAATTGAGGGTTGGAGAATTCAGAGAAGTTCATCAATTTAAAATATAAATTTTGTTCATCCATCCGCGAATTTGTTTTAAATTCCTTTCACTTGATTGAATTTAAACATAATTTCACCACTCATCAATTCCTTCATCCAAACGACGCCTAAATAGCCTCCCACTTTCTTCAAGATAAATTGTTACCAATATATGTAGGGTCTGCAACGATACATATATTTGGACTTTAACCCAAATCACTACAAAAGCGTCCAATCTTCCGATTCCATGAATTTTGTGAACATTAATCAAACAATCCAATCAGTAACTGATCCTGACCAATATGAACTTAACGCACTCATAATGCGATTCTGATCCTCAAATTCTATTCACGGTGGAACCGAGACTATCGTGATTCGATTCTGATTTCGAACCGAACCGCGGGTCACGATACCAACCCCCAAAGTAGGTAGGAAATAAAAGTGGCAAGGCCTGGCCTCCTGCACCCTGAAAACAGGGGGGAGGGGAGTCTGGCCACAGTTTGGGATTTCATTTCACTCTTCTTTGCCAAGGCGACAATTCAACCATTACCATTTCTAGCCAAGAAACCTTACAGAAATCTGTCATTTCCTCCCTCAACGATAAGAGTACCATATTAGCATCATTGCACTGCATACCAAAGCACTTTGAATAGAATTGAAGGCAACTACCTACATCTGCTCCTTGGTCCTTTTCCTTTCTCCTTTCTCCTTCCTCCTTAATGTTAAAAAAAAAATTTGCAGTCCTTTTTAACTTGGCCAGCTTACATCTCCCTTTTTTCCCCAAAACCGGTAAAAACCAACAAATATTTACCACCACCAAAACAAACCTCACAAAACCCTACTTGGCTTCCCCCTCGTGACGTGGGACCAAACTTTGTAGGTTAATAATTGGATTGGATCATGAGCTTCATTCATGCACACTGTAACATGCAGCATTTCGTTTCCCTTCTTTCACCATTCTGCTCCACATTCCTCCATATCATGCGGTCCAAAAGCTTCACATGTACAACCACATACCCAAAAACCCCTGCTATATAAAAAACAAGCAGCAAACAAAACCAGCAGATCGACTTCATTCCTTGTGTTGTGTTGTGTGTCACCTTTATCTTTTGTACAGAATTGGAAATTTACTGCTCCCAGCTGAGGGCTAGTGTCTTGAGACCTGGTCACGGGCATCCCTAAGGAGCTGGAGTGGTGTGGTTGGTGGTCTTCTATATCAATTTGTCATAAACTCTACAACGATGTCACTTATTTCGAGCGGACATGTCTCAATATCGACAGACTCAGTCGTTCACTTTGTTTCAAGGAGAGTAGTTAGTGCGGTCGTGAAAGGAAACATTAGAAATCCCTTCACTACAACTTTTGTAGTGATCTTAAAATGGATTTTTTTCTTCTTAACCTGTATAGATCCGGTTGACTGGAGTTTGTGCATAATTTTTAAGATCACTTGGGAAAAATAGTGCTAGAAGAGTACCAAACTCAAATCATTGTTAGGGAGTTCATTGTCAAAAGCATTTCGTAGAATCCACCACAACATTATATATGGATTGGTTGTGAAGATTCGGTGTCTATGGTCATCGTATTAGAAGATTTTCAAGTGAAATACGGTTAGCAAGAGATCAACTTTGTGGTGGATCACCTTGTTGTGAACTCAACTGAATGGGGTCGGATACTATGCCTACCCCCAAAGGGGTCTGATTTTTGACACCCCCTTTCTCATTGGTCAGTTTTTTTCTCAATCATTTGACAATTATTAATTACATTTGTTTTTTGTATTTTTTCATAATCTTGTAATTTGGGAAAGTTATCAATAATAATTTAAAACTAATTGGGAAGGAGCAATTATGTTGGATGGGGAAAGCGTCGATTGCTCTTCCAAGTCCAATATTCCCCATATTTTCTCCAAATAGCAATCCGACTCTCTACTCTGCAAAACTCGACGGCGATCGGACACATCGGGCACCGTTGCAGTGGGATCGCCTCCGACCCCGCCTGGTGGGTTGCTCGTCGGAGGAGGAAGACACGCAGGGGATATCCCGCCGCCCTTACAACAGGTCCAACCATCCATGTTGTCGGCCGTCGGCCGTCCTCCGTCTTCCATCCCAAACATCACCTTCCAACGACTTCCTCTTATCCACGGCATGCGCTTGATCTTTTCTTGTTGACCACCGTCCTTCCACGGTAGAGATTCGATCAACCCTAAGTGGCGGCGACAGGATCTGAAGGTGAGGGTGGTACCACTAGGCGGCAGAGGAAACGCACCAATGGACTGGTACATGTACCAGTGGAGTGGTACGTGTACCAGTGGAGTGGTACGTGTACCAGTGGAGTGGTACGTGTACCAGTGGAGTGGTACGTGTACCAGTGGAGTGGTACGTGTACCAGTGGAGTGGTACGTGTACCAGTGGAGTGGTACTAGTAACCATATGTTCTGTTTAGGCTTAAAAAAAATTGTGAACACAGTTTTTGGCTACTAATGGAAAGTACCTATTTTGTTGACTGATTGAAATGTTTCTTGTGGCAGAATTATATTTCATGATCAAGTATGAGTATTGGTATATTGAGGACAGTCTTAATTAGTACCAGTTCAGTGGTATAAGTACCAATATAGTTGTATAAGTACCAGTTAATTGATATGTATATCAGTCTAGTGGTATAATACAAGTTCAGTAGTATATATGTACCACTGAAGTATTATGATTACCGCTGAAGTTGTGCGAATACCATTTCTATTCCATTACTCGTCGGCAAAGATATTTCCATGAAATTGAAAGAAGTTAACCAATAATACGACATAGAAAAATAATAAAATCAATTCCAAACTTCAAAAGCGGCGGAGACCATAATATTTCAATGACGATGACACTGCCGTGAATATGTACCACTGTTGTGGTACATATACCATTGTACTGATACATGTATCACTGAAGTGGTACACGTACCACTAGGCTGATAAAAGTACCAATGCAATTATTCAAGTCATACTTTTCTACTTGTACCATTAGCAAAATTGAAACTCATCCTAAATGTTCCCATTGTAGTGTTAGATATACTTTGGAGTTATGCCATTGAAAAGGTACATGTATCACTGAACTAATATATATACCAGTGAACTGATACACATACCACTGCACTGATACATGTAGCACTGAACTGATACATGTACAGCAAATCTGATACGTAAACAAACAAGCAACTTCTCATTAGTATTACCACTCACCGTGCAGTACAATGTGTTATAAAAAAAGGGAAATGCCAACAACTATAAAATATCCAGCAAATGCAACTATTGAAGTCACTAAGAAATTGTTTGTGGGATGTACTTCTTGCCCTAACATCATCGGTACGTTTCCTCTTCCCCTATCTTGTTGTTCTTATCCCGGCTCTCACGACGCTGTTTCTTGCTGGTACCCTTACTCGAGGAAAGAGTCTGACCTACCCCTACTTCTACCCTAGAAACATAGCTTGCAAGTCTCTTCCCTGTTGGAACCGCAGGATACAGTCTCTTCGTCCTTGTCATTCCTATTGTCATTGGTACACACAATAATCAGAATTATCAATTTAGTGATAAAATATGAGATCAATAATGATTTTGTTAGTACCACTACAGTGATAGCCCTACACACAAAAACATAACAACGAACTACCATCATAGTGATAGATCTACCATTGCAACGAGAGATCTACCACTACAGTGATATATCTACCACTGCAACGAAAGACACACTATGTCACTGTAGTGATAAAAAGCTTATCACTGATAACGTTCAACAGTAACTCAGACAGTGGTAGAACTACCATTGCAGTGGTAACATTACAGGTATCAATACCAGTACACTGGTACTAATACCACATGAAAAAATCCAGACCTAGAAACTCAATGACATATATCTGGGTAATGAAAATACCATTGAACTAGTGCTAATACCACACGAAAATCCAGATCTGGGTTGGGAGAGAGAGCTACCTCAGATTCTTCGTCGTCGTCGTCGGGAAGGGAAGGAGGCCGTCATCTTCGCCGAGAAGGTGAGGAGGGTAGTCAGAAGAAAGACCTAAAAAAATATAGAAAGAAGAGTAGAAAGAGGAAAATGTAACGGAGTAAAACCCAACACCTACTATCGATTTCGGGAGGACGGAGACTAGTTCCATGAAATCGTTAGTTCTTCGAAGTCGTGTCGCCGATGGAAGGTGGTTGACGGAAACAAAGCAAAAGGGAAGAGGAAAGGAGTTGGTTGGCAGGTTGATTCTCGATCGGTGGAAGGAATAACCTCCATTGTTGTCGCCGAGGAAGGTTGAAGATGGCCGGCTGCTGGTGATGGAAGGAGGAGGGTTGGTCGTCTGGTGGGAGAGACAAAAGGGGAAATAATCAAAAGGGGAAAGTGAAATCGTTTTTTCCCAGTCCCCAAATTTCTTCCCCTTTCCAATGTGGGTGATGCCAGCTAATGAAGGATTTAATGCACAAAAAAGGCTGCTCAATCCTCACCCTACATTACCACTAATTTAGATGGACGGTTTTGGATGGGGGTGTCGAAAATCAGTCCCCTCCATGGGGTAGTCAAGCTAACCGATCCCCAACTGAATATTAGTTGTATTTTGAGCAAACCAAATTTAGAGTGGAAACACTCATATTAACACAAGTATCACATACACGTGCCTTTTTAGCCCTCCATTTTCTAAAATACAAAAAGGAAAAGTGTAATAACTTATTTCTGCATATGCCTACTTACTCCATACTCCCATGATCTCTTCATTGATTGATGATGGAAGGAGTGATGGAGGCAGCCTATTTGCTAAAGAATTTTTGTCAATTACACTCTTCTCCCTTCTGATATATACAAAAACAATCCAAACCTACTAGACGCCTATACCTTCACCTCATCTCTAGCTAGCCGCTATAAATACGCCACTCTGATAGACCCAAATTCCACTTTCTTTCCTCTCTTCTTAAATTAATCCATCTCTTCTTTCTTTCTCTTTATTGGACTCCACCAAGAGCTACGAACAGGGCAGCCGCCATGATTTGCTTTACTGGGAAGAAGAAGAAGAAGGGCGGCAGTGAAGGTATGGAAGGAGAGAGGGTGAGGCTGCTGGAAGAGGAGCTGGAAGCAATAATGTATGAGAGAGAGAAAGAGAGCAAAGCCTATGAGAGGGATGTGATGGTCTTTGCATTCAAGGAGGCAGAGTGGAAGCAAGAGAAGAAGAAGCTCAAGGAGGAAGTGAAGAGGCTGAAGAAGGCTGTGGAAGAGAAAGAAGAGATCATCAAAGGGTTTTGTGATCAGAATTATATCATGCTGGAAGAAGACTACAGTAATTACTGGCAGCAGCTCTCAGCTGGGACAGCCACTAACTTCTTGCTGCAGCAGATGAGGGAGGAAAGGGCACTCAGAGATGAAGCTGTTGATCGATGGAAGAAGCTCTACCTTGCCATCAAGACCGAGCTTGATGATCTCATTCAGAAGACTCATCCCGGTTTGCTTCATCTCTTTCCCTCTCTCTCTCTCTCTTGTCTGCAATTTCATCTGCATAACCATGGATGAATTTCAAAGTTTCAATCTTTTCAGAGTGTGGCAATCGATTCAAGGGGTTTTAAAGGAAAACCCAGTTCAGCAGCTTGTTTATATTTGCTTACTGTGCATTTCAACATGGCATCCAGAAAAAACTGGAAGCAATTCAGTGCATATAAATATTCTACTGTTCTCTGTTCTTAATTGATGGAAAGTGTTTTCATGGGTAGTCAAGGCCTCTGGTTCTGTGGGTTCACTATTGATTTCTAACATCCAGTATTGTCCCATCTTTCCCTCTGGATTGTTCATTTTTTCACTTATGCTTGCTACTGTTCCTCTGCCTCCATTATATTAAAGCTTTTTTTCTTCTCTTTTGTTTTCTTACGAGTCCTGGAAGTGACCGTTCTTTTTGACAAAATAACACCCATGTAAAGTAGAGACAAACACTCATGAAAATCATTTCAAATGGGTGCTAAATGACATGTGGATGGCCCTGAGTTAGTTACGATTTCGCCATTTCCGCCTTTTGTCACATCTGGCTGGTTGAAGAAGACAGGACGAACCTGGTGACCATAATTGGACCACTGCCCATGAATAAACCAAACCAACCCGTCCTTTTCCCTACCCCGTTTTCGCTGTTAATAGCCTGCAAATATTGGTCAGGTCGAGCAGAACTTGAAACAAAAATGTTTCTTTCAGGAGATGGATTGATGTACTGTCGAGCAGTAGAGGAAGAAGAAAGCGCGACAGTGGAAGAGCTCAGGATGGATGTGAAGTTGAAGGAAGAGACGATAGCAGATCTGAAAGCAAGGCTCATTGTGTCCGAGCGGGAAGAGTTCAATAGGGCTCGAGAAGTAGACATTCTGCGGCAGAGTTTGAGAATCGTCGGAAGCAGCAGCAGCAGCAGCAACAAGAAGTCGTCCAGCTTGCGCCTTGGAAGTAAACCCAACTTCTCGTTCGTCAAAAGGGTTGTGAAAGTGGTAGTCAATTAGGAGCATTACAACGAAAATTAATTATAGACAACCGTCGATGTATAAAAAGGACATCAATGTAATAGCAAGTGCATACTGATAATAGTAATCCTATAATAATAATAATTGCTGCTGTGGTTAGTTTTTGCCAGAAGACTTTGATTACTGGTGGAAACATTCAATCGAAAAATGTTCGACCTGATTCTACGGTCGAATTCAGTTATGATGCTGGACCACAACCAGAGTTAAAAGAAGTAACAAGCCTGAAAGAGAACAGAGATGGAGTCCACACCCTTCTAGTAGCAGAGCAATGAATGAGATGAATACACCGACAAAACCGAGAACGACCTCTGTTACAGACTTGATTCGATTGTAAGCTATCAGTACCAAAAATTACCAGGGCAGGCATAAACAAATGGCAGTGAAGAAATTTCCCAGAAAAAGTAGAGGCATACTATGCTAATGCTTTTGGCACAAGTGAAGCCAATGACAGGGCAATGGCCAGTTGAAACCTGAAGTAGCAGTTTACTTACATTTAAGTTTAACGCGACCTATGACTGTCTAACCTCCGCTTTCGAACAAGAACTACTGAGGTACTATCTTCATACAGAAACTTCTATAGACGATAGATACAGATGCAACTTCATGGTAACTTCAATGCACGACGTAAAGAGGCAGAGCAACGAATGGTCATTACCTAAAATTATTTACGGTGAGTGTCTGATTGATTTGTCTATATCATTTCCATTATGGGACGTGAGAGAACCACCAAGTTCTGTACACTAGAAAATGACTTCTGGATTGTCTTGTTCCCCATTAATACCGTATTTTCACGCAAAATTATCCACGAGGACAAAGAGACGGGAAACCAGCAAGAGAAAGGAGGAATTTACAGGGTACATACATTATGATAAATGTGAGGTTGAGAAGGTACGTGGAATTAGTACGTTTTCAGGTCCGGTTCACTCCATTGCTGTTTGTTGGGTTGTTCTGTACGCTTCTTTCCGCCCTGGGAAGACTCCCGTAATTTGACCTCACATGCTGGAGAAACACAGCCAGAGGTTAATGAATGAATAACTAAAAGAAGAAGAACAACAAGAAGGAACTAAACCAGGAAGTCTGCTTTCTACCTCTAGAAGGGTGATGTAATAGAAGTCCTCCATATGCTGCATCAGGGCACTTCCATCTCGGATAGACCGGAATATGTTGATCTCAGTTTGCAGTATTTTCTCAATCAGTTCCCTCTCGCCCTTCATCTGCACAGGTTTTAATGGTGAAAAATGATAAAAGTTGGGGAATTAAACTTGCATTTTGCTTGCTCTCAAGCAATTGTTTGTTAACTTCAGTTACAAGTAACGAGCTAGAGTAAGTTCCCTCACAGCCATCATTAGTAATGCTAACCCAAACACAAGGTCCCTTAATACAATGATTTGAGGGATGATATTATGAGATGTGAATGAACGAAGGAAACTTGTGAATACGGTAGTGGAGGTGGAACATACAAATTCGCTGACAAGAGAATCGGGCGTCGCCTCCCCCAACACATCAACTTGGTAACCATCTCTCTCAAGCTCCAAATTTTCCTGGGATGAAAAGTTGAATTTATCAATAATTCTTTTCCATAAAGTTATACAGTTAAGGCGCTGAAGTGCAGTTTCAGCCATTGGTAGAATTATGCTCAACTAGCTAGTTTAATATTTATCTCAGCTAAGTAACTTTTCCTGGAGGCAAAACAGCTCGAGTGAACAGACAACTCTTCCATATACGTTGTTTGGAAGAAAAGAAACAAACCACTAAACATTCAGAAAGGAAATTGGCTCACCAAAGCATCTCTTAGCTCTCCAGGTCCCAGGTAAACAGGGTGAGCGACATGACAATAACCCATCAAACGAGGAATGGTTGGGATAATGTCTCGATGATTCACAACCCTCCAGCTATCTTTAACTTTCTGCAATGATATATCTCATTGTAAATGAAGCAGTTAAGCGTTCATACATGCGAAATGCTAGCCGGACATCAGTGCTTACAGATAATACATTTTGTTTCCTTTACGCATAAACTTTATGATTGTTGAAGCCAATTATGACAATTCCACATGGATGAAAGGAAGAAAAGACAGGCTATTTACCTACCTGATTATAAGCTTCCGCAAACATTTTGTTTCCAACCCTAGGAGACCCGAAGTTGTACATAGTCACGGAAATAGCTCCCCGCCTAATGAATCCAATGACATTATGCATGAACATTGCCACTTAGCAAAACTACTGTGGAACTGAATCGAACAAGAAAGCACTTACCCAATTAGCTTACTGGAAGAGAGTTCAAGGGCAAGTAGGGTGGCCAGTGCACCACCCAAACTATGACCGGTGACATAAATATGCCATTTAAATGGCGGATCAGACGCATCCTCTCTACCAGAAAAAAAAAAGGATGACAGAAGAACAAACCCTTATGAAATTTAAACAATCAAGGATTCAGTGCTCAAAGTTCAGTCCTTGATCATAACAATGAAATAGATCCGCTTACTGGTAACCAATGGATGATTTAATGATTGACATGATCCTTATCCTGACTGAATCATATGCGCTTAAGAACCCCGTGTGGACCTGAGTGATCAAGTGGAACCATTAATAAAAGATAGCATGCAGAAAATTCCCACACACTATTTACACGCATACAGCATCTTCGTTCCAAAAAAATTTCTGAACAACAGGCACTTTATTACTTGGATACCTGAACTTCTTCCTTAAATTCTCCGCCTATCCTTTCAGGATTTAGCCTAACCAAGAAGGTAGGTGTTAACCATAAGAAGGGCAATATATGAAAAATAAACATCATGGGAAGAGCAGAACGTAGTGAGATTGAAGATTACCCAGCAGGGACAAGCATTAGATCCGTCACCAAGTCCTTCCATTTTGTCTAAACAAGAATAAGAAGTAAACAATCAGACTGAAGACTTTAAAACTGAATCTAGTTGGAGAAGAACAAAAAATTAGCATACTTGTTCTGTGCCCCGGAAAGCAATGACTATTCTCCTTCTTGCAGAATCACGCCAAATTGCCACCTGCAGATCTCTAAACATTGATCAACCAAATACAGTCTCATTGTCCATCACAAGGAGGTGTTAAGTGAAGGAAGGCATAATTCACCTCGCTCTAAACGAATGGATGGAATAGAAACTCCAAAACAAAGAGATCTTTACCTGAGTGTCAGTAGATTCATTATCCAGAAAGCATATTTTCTCAAACTCAGACCTAATAAAACTCGAATGGCCGGCTGAGGAGGCTAGCATTGCCCATGCCTCCATGGCACTTTCCGCACTCGAGAAAAGTACTCTCATCTCCTCGGCTTTCTTTTCATCCAATACAATCTGGTTTTCGGCTTTCTTTTCGTCCAATACTATCTGGTTTTCAGAGCTAGTAATAACCTCATCATCTGTAGTCGAACTCTCTCCTGAAACATGTGTCTCCTCGTCGTTTGATTTAGAAATAGAAGCCGCCAAGACCATTAAGGCTCCAAAAACTGATTCAGTTTGCTTTAATAAATCTCGAGTTGCTTTCTTTACATCTGGCAGTGAAGATTGAACTGCAACAGTGACTGGCGGGCCACTAGCTTTATCTTTCTCACCATCCTGACCTTCTGGAGCTGCAAGGCCTGACTCCACATAGGTGGCATTAGCAATCTCCTGTGACTGCAATCCAATCCCTTTTAACAAGTCAAAGCCATCAAACTTTAGTTCCAGTGAAACTGGAAGATCAAGTTTCTGAACAACTGTTTGGTTGATAACATCAGCAAAGTTTCCCCAGAAAAGTTTTTCTGTCAGCGAACCATCAGCTAGTTTCACATTCTCCACACCATTTGACTTATCTAAGGCATCATTATTGCTATTATCAGAATTTGGATCATCCTCTTTACTACACTTTGCATCATTTGTAACCTCTCTCTTCGATGTCAAATCTGAAGCTACAATACTGCTGGAGCTCTCTACAGCTTCGGACTCATAGCCACCAGAAATTTGACCCTTTGAAATGTATGCATCATTGAATGACTGCAACTGCCCGAAAGCATATTCCACAAACTGCCGGGCTGGCACACTCTCATTTCCTGACATCATCTTTAGAGCAGATTCAAGACCACTATTTTTCAAGAATTCAGGAACATATGGAAGTATCCACCACTTCTTTTCCTCCTCAATTTCTTTAAAGGTTTTATACCTCACCTGAGGAACATAATAACAAGCACTATCAAAGTATGTAAGAGAACAACACCGGTACTGAAAGACAGGATAAACTCAAGTTATGTAACTAACATGATCTGTGACTCTTTAGCAAGAATCTGCTATAATAGTATTGTTGACTATGGGATATTATGCTCAGCAGATGGTGCACAACAAAAATCTATTTGCACGAAGATTTTTCAAAAGCTGCAATTGTTTTTCACCACAATCTTACCTCTAGCACCAACTTCCCACCGCCACCCATTCCTTCCAATTCCACCTGCAATTCATGCACATTACCTGGCACAATACATGACATGTCATAAATCTACGACGACATATTTTCCTAATTTTGTTGAAAATATTTGAGCTGTACGAAGTAACTACACATAATCAAAAGATGGAACTGGGAATAGAAACTTCAGCAGTTGAGCAAGTGCAATAATCAGTTTAGCAGTCAGTTAGAGAATTGGAAGACAATACTAACTTGGCTATAGAGTTAGAAAGTTATACCCAGTCATCAGAACAATAGAATGAAAGAGGTTAAACCCAATCCATTTCTAGCAGTAGACCAACGTCAATCATTGGTACTAAGGTATAGAAGTTTTTCAAACATTCTAACAAGCTCTCACCATCGCAGATGGAATCTAGGCTAATGATTGCATTGCCCATGCGCTTATGTGGAGTGACAAGGTTAGCATCCCAAGCAGCAACCTGAAGATTCAAAGTCATGATTCAGCAAACTGGCACCAGGCTAAAGGACGTGATTATAAAGAAGTCCACACAGCAGTAGATGCCCGCTCCTGTTCCTTAGGATTCATTAGTTGATAAATTATGTCCTATGAGACTAATTTGCAGAATGCAATGCACGATAAAACAAGCTATTTGAAGGAGTGATATTAACCTGAAGGCTTGTTGCTGGAGACAGTTTAATATAGAACGAGAACTCCTCATTCCACGTTGGCTCCTTTGTCCTGTTATCATTCAATGGTTCACATCCAACTTGAGTTCCTCAATTTTAGCAGCTGAAAGCAGACTTCTGACAATCATATCTTTGCTTAATAAAAGGAATAATTTCGAAGTTGGTGTTCAACCAGCTTCTGGTCTTAAAACTTCAATTTTGCAATCAGATTGTGAGTACGATCAGGAAGTGCTCATTCTCTTGCATAGTGGTAAAAATCCAAAAGCTTCAAGGAAAGATCTCAGGGGGCGAAAACTTACATACCCCCATTTCACGTTGCTTTTGAAATGCTGACCATCCAATTGGATGACCGCATAAGGATCACTTGTTCCCTGGAAGAAAATCAGTAGTTGGACAAGCAAAAAGTTAGCAAAATGAATAAGAAGAAAAAAACAGCACCCTGCAATGCAACCCTCAAGCTCCTTCTGAGAAGGATACATAAATCCACGAAAGAATAACTCACCCATGGATCCATTGCAGGGAAGTCAAAGCCATTTTTCAGCTTCACAAATAACTGCCCATCATATATCTCCCGGACAAACGGCCTACAAGAACATCAATCACACACGACGCATTTTGCAATAGCGAATCAATGTTTGCCATAACACTAGCATTTGCTTCTAGCATCAGGAACAACTTACGGCCAACAAGCATAACAGCAAAGGAAAAAAATTCGCCGGTCATTTCCTTGATTGTTTAAGTTAAAATGGATGTCACGTACTCTGACAGGTACACCGTCTTGCAATTCCCAGCATCTACCTCCCGCTTCCCTACCTTTTCCTGGTTAAAGCAAGTTTGAAAACAGCTTTTTGTTCAGTAAGCACAAAATCAAAGCGCCATGCTGAATAGCGAACAATAACTAGATTCTCATCTACGCTTTGGAATCGATATGAGTAATCCGGCTTCACTATCTCCCCCTCTGAAAACGTTGATCACAGCATCGAATTTCACTAACAGAAGACTAGTCCTAATTTATACTAAGCAAGGAGCAAAATCACTAACCGGCGGCGTGGCGTAGGCTTCGAAAGCGAAACCGGCCAAGACGACGGCGAGATTGATATCAAAAGGAGGCCGGGGCTCGTCGCTCTGTTCCCTCTCCGAAACCTTCTCAATCAGTGCATTATCTTCTCCACTCGAGCAACGAACCAAGCATGCACTGCCTCTGCGCCTCCCGCTCTCCTTGCGCAGAATCAAGCCGCCGCCTCTCCCTCGGACAGGAAACCGCCGGCGAAATCTCGAATTCCGGCTTATCCGCGAAGGGAGAGGCGAGGCAAGCCTGTAGCAGAATCGCGGATGCGCAGTCCCGCAGCGTATTTGCAGAGAAGCCATGGCCGGGAAGCAAAAATTAAGCAGAGCAGCTCCACGGTACGGTCTGCTTCTGCGGGAGTGTGTTTGTGAAGGAAGGCAGGAGATGAGTCTAGAGAGTGGCATTTGTGTAATAAATAAATATTTCGCTTTTTCTAGTTTAGATTTTTTGGAGAGCGGAACACTTTTTCTTCCGTGTCCAGCTCTCGAATCGAATCAACAGGACCACCGGATGAAGGAGAAGAATTACAGTTACTTATTTGTTACTACGGAGCCGGTTTTGTTAATACAACCAACCAACCAAGTGATACTATCGCAATCTTTTGGCGGTCATTTTCTAAATTTGCAATTGGTTCTCTCACTTTGGATTGGATGGTAATTGGGTGGATGGAGTGGATTTGAACATAAAATTTGTAGTGGGTGGTCGGTGTTAGGGTACTAACATCTATTTCATCTTTTGGTATAATTGTTACTAGCGTGGGCCCCGCCATTTGGCCGGACGAAGATGAGGTATGAAATTTGATAATGTAATGGGGTGTATAGCTTAATGTTATATAGTTTTTTTTTTTTGGAAACACGTGATAAAAATAGTGAATTTTAGTAGAAAAGAGACATGAATGATGCAACGAATAAAAAATCAGCCTTATGAACCAAAATCAAGTACATGTTACCTTGTGAAACAATATTGTTTCTGGTAATATGATGAGGTGGAGTAAGTTTTATAGAAACCGAATTCCAGAAAATCGAATAAAAAAATGAGCATCTCATAATCGTTGCTAGCTTTTACTCGGCCCGTTGGCCGATTAATTTGCTTTATAAAACTTTCATCTTCTCATCATTGTGCTTTCTGGTTTTTTGCCAAGCCATGATAAAATCTAAAGAAATCAAGAATGAACAACACAATTTGGGATAGGAACCACCGTTCCTGTATCCCTAGAAAATGGTGGTAAACACGGACTCACCTGCCAAATTGGTTTGGATTGAGATTTTTATAGGGTATCAGAGAACCATGTGATTATAAATTAGACTTGATCAAAATGGCCCAAAACTTGAAATTCAGCTTGTTTGACCGACCCATGCCAAACTCTAATTATTCTTTACTTTTAAACTTTATATTTGAAAATAAAAAATAATGAAAGAAAAGAGATGACTGCAATTCACCATTTGCACATCACCGATTCGGGAATAAAACTATAGAATTTCGAAAGGAAACTGAAAATATTTAGGATCGTTTTAATGTTAAAAATAACCAAATAGATCTTTCTGTTTAGTTTTTTACTAACAAATACCAAACGATTCCCTATAATATACACTATAATTTAATCATTATGATATCAAATAATTACATAATATATATTTGAAATGATAAAAATTGGACTAATTGAGTTGGTCGAAGTTGAACCATTGAATAACTTTAAAATACATTATATTTTAGCCACTAAGATATAAAATAATAGCATAGTATATATTATGCTAGAGAAAATATCTTGTTTTAGAATGACAAACCCATGATGTTCATTTGTTTTACTTGATGGGCAAATCCCATGTAGGTCAGACTCGTTCAACTCTTTTATTTTATGATTAGCGGTTAGCCCATTAGAATCCATGCATTAGTTTATTGTTAATTTTTTTCTTTTTAGCAATAAAAAGGAGTATTGTTTTTGCCTTTTCATATATATATTTTACCACCATGGAGAAATAAAAGGACTTAAAGAAAAATATTGACACTCCTGGACCCGTTTAAATCCGCATGTGTACGGTAAGTTGGCCCGTTCCACAGAGGAAAAAGAAAAAAATTGACACTCCCTATTCTACTCTTCCTACAAACGCTCCTGGAGCATGGAATTTTAAATGGGGGAAGAGTTTTTCTCTCTCTGCAATTATATGTTTTTAATTTAAAAAGATACAACAAATGTACTTAGTGTGATTGGTTATGATCTTTGTTTTTCTTTAAAATGGTCATGGTTCGAATCCTAGTAAGTGTCTTTTTAATGAATAAAAAAAAGTAATTGTGAAGATCAAAATGTCCTTCCTTCTGCCGAGTGATACTATCGCAATCTTTTGGCGGTCATTTTCTAAATTTGCAATTGGTTCTCTCACTTTGGATTGGATGGTAATTGGGTCGATGGAGTGGATTTGAACATAAAATTTGTAGTGGGTGGTCGGTGTTAGGGTACTAACATCTATTTCATCTTTTGGTATAATTGTTACTTGTTAGTGTTAATTTCAGTCAAGGGAAATATTTTTCTTTCTTGACGTTGATCACAATATAAATGTAAATCTTAAAGGGAGAGACAAATTTATTATCTTTCAAAATTATCAGAGTAACACGTATGTAAATCACAAGTATCATGAACAAACCAAAAAACACGAGAATCCTGAATAGCTTGATACAAGTAACACCTTAGTAGTCATTCTATTGTTCTCACGCATTTTTCCTTTGTTCATAGTCGAAACTGTCAATTTTTTTTATGAAATTGTTTATTACCTACTTTTTTTTTTGCCATATTTTTGCTACTATATATTGTCATTTAATTCTTAACAAAAAGTACTTGTAAATTATATGTGTAAACCTCTATGCCAAATGAACAAAATTATCACCATCATTCAAAAAATATAATTAATCATAATAATTGAAATCGATCAAGTGATCAACTATCATGGATGGATGATGGTTCAATTCATGAAATTAAATATTGTGTATACTTGTACTATGAATGGAAAAGTTTTTTCGTTTTGCTGGGTTTTATTCTCCAGCCATCAATTCTCCTGCTCTTGCACAAATTCAAGAACCGATCACTTCCTCTCGCCCATTCCAAGCGTGTTCTTGACGGAATCCACGGCCCCCTGAGCAATGTTCTTCACCGATTCTCCAGTCTGTTGAAGAAGGTTGGCAGTCTTGTCGGCGCCCTCTTGTGCCGTCTCCTTGGCGGACTGAGCAGCGTTCAGGGTCTTGTCCCTGACCGCATCCGCGGTGCTCCCGAGCCCGAGGGACTCCTTGCCGGAGTCCGCGGCGCGGGTGGCCTTGTCCTTGGCGGACTCGGCGGCAGAGTCGGCCTTGCCCTTAGCTGTCTCTGCGGCACTGGCGGCCTTCTCCTGGCCCGCGGCGGCCTTGTGTTGGGCGCTGTCCTTGGCCGACTCCGCGGACCCCGCGGTTCTCTGGCTGGCAGAGTCGGCCTTCTGTTGCATGCTGTCGGTCCACTCCTCGGCCTTCTCCTGGCCCTCAGCTCTGCTCTGTTGCATGCTGGCCATGGCTTAGCTTCTCTGTTATTTAGTTTGGTTTACGGGGAAACAAAAGAAAGAAAGAGATCTTGTTTTTTTTTTTTTTTTGGTTTTGTTGGATTGATTTTGATGATGTTTGGATGAAGAAAGATAACACTGGTTTATATAGTGATGTTTTAGGTGAGATTAGAAAGCGGTTGACCGCAATCTTCTACAATTGGAATGAGTAGGATAGATTTGAACGTATTGTCGAAATGTTGACAGAGTCCGAGAGAGAGATGATCAATCAATTAGAATTCAATGGCTACCTGGCGAAACCAATTGCCCATTTTTGGGGTGTGTGCTTCAAAAACTTCGATCGGAAATTTCTCTCTGATAGATTTCACTACCACAGAGAGAAAAGAACGACGACGATGACACAAATGATTGTGATTTGTGAACCACGAAATCAATTATAGTGTACAACAATTAATGATCGGAAGTAGGGATGTAATCGATGGTATATTACAACAGTTTTGAAATTTTTTTCGTTTTTAAAATTAGCTCGGTATGTTTGGTGAGCTAGCTCGTTTATTAGTGAAACAAGTTTGAACATAGCCGCATAAGTCAAAGTAGTGGTTAAAAATAAAGTATATCACTATTTTATAATCAATTCGGATTTTCATTTAATTTTTTTCTTTGGTAGAAACAAAAGTTATACCATCAGATTCCAATAAGTAAATTAGAAAATGTTGTGGCTTAATTACCCAAACTTCTTCGACACTCTCATTACAATGGGTATGAGTCACAAAATGGGTTGTCTTATTACTTTGTGTTCTGTTGGGGGTATGGAAAGAAGCCCAAGAAAAAGGGTCTAAAAGGTCAAGTGCAGCCTGGAATAAAGACCGAGCAATAACAAGGCCTGGTCCAATAGGAGCAATGAGCAGTTTGGAGAGGTGGGACAAAAGAGCATAATGGTCGACAATGTACGGAGAGCGCAACAGATGAGGTCATATGAGCCCTAAACCTCTGAATATGGTGTCAGATGGTCGAGGCGCGTGGAAAAGTGAAGGTACGGTGCATTTATTAAGGTGATGACGTAGGGTGAATTTGGGGGGCAACGGTTGGCGAGGCTCCGTGTATAAATAGGAGAGTAGGTGAACCTCATTTACTCAGATCGAACTCTCTCACTAGAACTTCTTTCTACTTCTCTCTCTAAATCGTGGTGCTAACTTGATCGTCGGAGTGCTAACGGACAACACAAGTCTGTGGTGCACCTCGTGTGCAGGTCCCAGACGCCTCGAGCACCAAAGGAGGGGGTATTGAAGGCGCATATGAAGAGAGAAGGAGAACTTGGCGCGCCAGGAAGAGAGATATAACCTAGGAGACACATGGAGACAGGGGAAGGAATGGAAGGACAAAGGCAGCGCCCCTCGCACGAAGCAAATATGAAGGAGATGGGGTCGCAAGTCGAAGGCGCCCAGGAGGAGAATTTGGGGGCGGAAGGTATGCCCTAGTCCGAGGGCGCATCCCTGACTATGGAGGACTTGATCCGGATAATCGAAGACCAAGACCAGGCGCTTGGAGTACTTAAGAGGAAGATAGAGATGTGAAAAGTGGGGGTTGGTGCCACGCCGTCACCAAGTTCTAAGTGAAGGGATAGACAAGAAGAGGAGAGGGGGTCTCGAGTGCCTTCAGGCGCACGAAAAACCTTGGAAACCTGACCAGACACCTTGCACCAGACTTTGATGAACACAACGGGTGGGCGCCCAGGCGTGCTGCTAGGAATTGGGGCGTGAAGAAGCCCTTAGCGCAGAGCATTCTGGCGGAGCAAGCCAATTCTGTCATTCCTGCGCTGTCGAGCTACCATGGGACAACCGACCCAGTTGACCATTTGAACAACTACTTTACGAAGATGAAATTGTACAACACAACTCCGATGACACTCTGTGTCGAGCCTTCCCATCCACTTTTATGGGAGTAGTCCTTGATTGGTACTATCATATCGAGGAGGGGCGGATCGACAATTTTGAGCAGTTTGCTGCCATGTTCTTGTCAAAATTCGCCAGTCGGAAGCATATGGAGGAGTGCACGACAAGTGAGGAGTTGTGCAAGTCGCTTTCAAAAAGGGATCTATACCCGAGGGTCCAGAAGGTCATAATGCTTGAAGAGACCCTAGCCGCGAGAAGGATGGACAGGCGGATTGGAAGGGATGAAGAAGTTGAATGATTTAAAGCGCTTCATACGCAGCCTGCGCCCTACAACTCGGTGTACAACACATCTGGATCCTGACACATGGAGACCCAACACCCCGTGGTGAGAAACGCGGGGAACTTCACCGAAATCTTAAAGAACGTCTTGCTATACGTGAAGGATAAGGGATATCACCTACCTTGATCGGGCCCATGTGGGGCTTGCTAATGAGATAAATCTAGACATGTATTGCGACTTTCATAGAGAAAGGGGACATCACACAACGGATTATTACCACCTCAAGTCAGAAATACAGTGGTTGGTCGAGCGGGAGATGTTAAGCGAGTTTGTGAAGAAAGGGGAAGACAAGGCACAACGAACCTTCATGAAATAGGAGCAGAAGCCTGAACCAACGGCCAAGGAGGACGAGGGGCCCCACCCACAGTAGGAAGTACGAGACGCTCTACCCCTCCGCCCTTCGTATTGGACCCGGAGTTTGATCCAGAACGCGACAGGCTAACCATTGAAGCTATCACGGGGTCGATTGACCTAAGACAAAAACTAGAGGAAGGGAGGCGTTTGAAGTCAGCCACGATGAGCGCACGGGAGACTATTCACATTCACTTTAACGAAACTCCGGAAGAGGCGTGCAGGGTGCCATCGGTAGAGGCGCAAGAGGTTCGAGGGGTAGTGGCCGGATGCAAGGTGAAAAGGATGCTAGTGGACACCAGGAGCTCGATGGATGTGTTATTCCGGTCCACTTTCGAGTGAATGCAGCTCTCGCCCAGTGTGGTAAGGTCGACAGATACGTTTATGGTGGGATTCTCGGGGGTCTCAAATAAAGTGATCACGCGTGTGCGCCTCCCAATGACCATGAAAGCCGAAGTACATCGGATGACGCACATGCTGGATTTCAGCATAGTGGATTGCCCGTCCCCATATAATGCAGTCTTGGGGCGACCAATGTTGGCGTTATTCAATGGGGTGGCTTCCTACTGCCACCACACGCTGAAATTCATCACGCCTAAGGGAGTCAACATCTCTTAAGATGAAGGGTCGCATGAGGCACGCCTCGCGAAGAGGAATAGAATGTACAACGTGGATGTGCGCCCCGAGGATTTGTCGAGAGTGAGGCAGCCGATGCAGAGATACAGTTTCCCTTGGATGACGAGTTCCTGAAATGGTGCATCCGAATCGCGACTTGCATTATCGACGAGACGATTGAGCCCATGATTGGGTTGTTGAAGGAGTTCGCTGACTTGTTCGCGTGGAGTGCAAAAGAAATGTCGGGGATAAAGCATGAGGTCGCGGAACAACGTTTGGGAGTAGCAGGGTGTGTGAATTCGGTGCAACAAAAAAGGAGACCCTTGTTTCACATATTCTATTGAAGTCGGCCCTTCTCTGGTCCTTTGCTTACTCTCCAATCTCTAAACTTATCCCGCTCTTGGCTATCTAGCTTTAAAATCACTGTTCGACAATTTGACTCCACTATCACCGTTAGAAAACCAAGATCGACAATAGACCATACAGAACTGTACTCAATTTTTAATTCTTATAGGACTTAGGATTTGTACCTGTCAAAACTGGGTAGCTCAATTAGTACATTATTGTCCGCTTTGGGCCAAGCCCGCATGAATTTACTTTTGGGTATCCTTCTCAAAAGGTCTCATACTAATTGAGCTTGGTGGACACTTTTATACAAAGGTCCATTGCCTTGTATTACTGATGTGGTACTTGGATTGTCCCATAACAATACCTAAGAGACAAGAAAACGAAGGCGTAACAATATGTTGATCCTTTCTTAACAAAAACGAGAAGCGAAGAACCAACTGAACATTATCCATAACAATAAGGTTGTGTGTTTTAATTATATCAAGAAAATCACTACAATCTGTACATACTTATGTACTTAGTCTTCCCGTTTTCCCAGGGCCAGGGAGCAAGAATTCAACGGCCGCTTAGATACACTTTCTTTTTTACAGCACTGAAATAACTTAGCAAATATACATATGCTCCCTATTTTTCATATACAAAAGCCAAACAGACTAAGAGTATAAATAAAACCAGTTCTCATGGGATATATCCACAACTTGATGAATTTTTCTTGCTCCCCAAAACTGGCACAGTAGTACTCTCAAACAACTAAGGCACACAAGCAGTAGCGACCGCCTCTTGAAGCACGAGCGGCTCGCTAATGTGCACAAAGTGTTCAGCTTCCCTCTCCATTTGCTCCTTGCATCGATCAACACCGCTCTTACCTTCCTTCATCTTCTTCACCAGCCCAGCAAACCGCCTCCAATTCTCTGTCTCGAACAATGTCGGGTTCATCCTCAAGTACGTGAACGCGCACATCTCCCTATCACCGTGACCACCAATCTCGCCAATGTTCAGCAACGATGACTGCAGAATCTGCTCGTGAGCATACTCATCATATCGTGGTAGGGCATTCTCCCCTGCAAGTGCCACTTTCGCCCCTTTAGTCGCCAAGGCCACCTGCCTCACCAGCTTCTCGGGCGCGCACAGCGCCTCGCTGGGCTGTTCATGGTCCCGCATCTCGATGCAGGTGAAGTTGAAGACGACGTTGTGGCGGGCGAACATCCGGGCGATTGGGAGGTAGCCGTCGTGGGTCCGGGTGTTGTAGTAGCCTGCAGTGAGCTCTGGGGCGTGGGACTGGGTGTCGTAGTGCCAGTGGATCCCCGCGACTTTCGCCGAGATCTTGGCACCGACGGAGTTGAAGATGGAGGTCGTGGAGGAGAGGATCCGCTCGCCGTGGTCCAGCAGCATTTGGGAGTACCAGTTGAGGAAGAATTCACCATAAGGAGTGTTCCAGCCGCCATTCTCCTTGCGGAAGAATTGGGTGTCCTCTGGCCAGTTGTTGTATTGTCCAGCGTCTGTTGGTCCCGAGTTGCCCCATGTCGATTTCTCGGCGGCCTCTGCTGCGGCTTTTAAGCTGTTGAGCATGTACTGCAACCATTCATTTGAAAACCATGAATTTGTTGGCCCTAATGTAGAAGTGAAAGATGGGTTGAAGTGTAAAGTCGTAAAAGCTAAGTTTTTATACAATAAGTAAACTTGTTAGAAATTTTCTAACGAGAACATGTACTCTATGAAATATAATAATTATATTTGTACAATATTTTAAGGTTGCTAGTCATAACACAAATAATTTGGAAGATGAGCAAATGAAGAGACACGAAGGTGACAGAAACAAACTAGAAGAAGGGAAGATCACTACTATAGGAAGACTAACGATTGTAGGGAGATAATGGAAGGAATGGATGGATCAGGTTTGGAAGATTTAAGGATGAGAGGAGAGCGTATTTTTGATTTCATGTTTGTTTCATTTTTCCTTTTAGTTAATTTTCAATTTCTAATTAGATAAGAGGTTGTGCTTGCTTCTAAATTAACATATTTATCATTAGTATAATTAATCGGCAAGCATACTTAAGGGGTCTGGGCAGATACAGCAGGGTTCACCATAAGTTTATGTACACCCTCTTTTTTCCACCCCGGTATTCTCCGCCCTTCCCCTACGATGATTCGCTGGCGGCTGAGCAAGTATTCTTAATTTCTTATAGTTCCGTCTCCGAACTCCGATTCCCCAGTTTCCTGTGGATTTTTTTCCCCGACACGTGATTCCCCCATACCCTCCTTTCTTCTCCGCTCTTTTCCTTCGAAGATTTCATTGGTGCTTGGTGGAATGGTTTACTCCTTCCCTTCTTTCTTCTTCACCCTAAGAATTGTGAATGAGTTTGGTCACTCTGTTTTGAGACCAATGGGATTGGGTTATTTGAAGAGGGAAGAGGGTAATCAAAGAAATTTTTTCCTCTCTAAAACCGAAGGAGATTCGATCGGCCACTCTGTTTTGGAGTTGGGTTATTGGGAGAGGGTTCTGTATTTTGGTTGATGGAAGAAGATTTCATACTTGGCTAAGGAGTTCAATTGCATGCAGCCAACTTCCCTACTGCTTCATCAAGAAGGATATTCGATCGATGACTCTGCTTTGTGGACGATGGAAGAAGTAACTACACTTGGCCAAGGAGTTCCATTGCATGCAACCAACTTTCTTACTTCTTCATTCAGAATTGTAAGTGCTGGTGGAGTGGCAGGAGCAGATGTCTATTTCTCCGAATGCAGAAAGCAAACATAGAGAGAGCATCTATGGATAAAAGCACGATTCTTTTATCTCCATTTGACCCTCGGGAAATCGATTTTTCGTAGAACTTTGGAATCCAGTGTCAATAAGAAGGAATAATGGGGAAAGAGAATTGTGAATGAAACGGTGTGGTAAACAGGGGGAAGGAGAAGGAAGTCATGGAGTCATGTACTCATGTTTGTTGACACATGTTCTTTCGTATTCTCCACGTGTAAAGCAGAGGGGTTTTGTCAGAATAATTATTAATGAGAAGGAAGATTACATTGCAATGAAATTTGTGGAAGACATAATATTGGTTGAGATTTATGATAGCCAAACAGGAATAGAAAGAAAAAAACATCTTCAAATGGACAAATGCCATGATCCAAATTAACTCAAGTACCTACTCAAATCAAGAGGGGAGTCTCACCTTTAAATTTACCATGTTAATTCTTTTCAATTTAGGTATAAATTTTAAGGATTGAAAAATGGTATCGTATCGTTGAATTATTGTTAAACCACGATACTGCTGATATTTTCGATACAACCTACCTCATTCTCTTTTAATTGACTTGGTCTTCACTCTTCAGACTATTCAGGGTAAAAAAAATTAAATGTTAAAGTGCATATTCTCACAAATATTTTTCTTCATTTTCGCCTAATTGAAGAAGTTTTGCTAACCATACTCAGTAGCATGCCAAAACTATCCAAGTTATTCTCCCATTCTCTCATAAGTCTATAGGTACAACTAGGGCTGGCTATTTGGTCCGCCTTTTTGGTTTTATCCGAAACCGGACCAGGACCGGATGAAAAATCATCCAATTCAATTTTCGGGCCTAGATTTAAGGTAAAAAACCATTTGGGATCGGACCGAAAATCGAATAAAGACCGGATAAGAGAACCAAATGCCCAAAATTTAACCTCCTCACCCTTTCAGGCCTTAGGCCACTCAAATCTCCCCCTCCGGTCACTCAAATCTCCACAAGCTCAATCTAAAATCAAGACCGGATTGGGACCGGACCGGTTCAAGACCAGACCAGATCAAAACCGGACTGTATCCAATCCAATCTTTGGTCCTTATATTCTGAAAAAGACCGGACCGGGACCATATCAATTCAGGTCAATTTAACCGGACTGGACTGTATAGCCACCCCTAGGTACAACCCTCTCATTGAATCTATTTAACTAATTATTTATTAACTAATCTGTAATTATTATGACGTCTTCAAGATTAACAAATTTAAAAGGTTCATTTTAATTAATCCCACCTCATATTCAAGATATGATTACTATTGATTGCTAACTAATCGATAAATGCTAAATTTTCAAATAATCCGCGGCAACGCGCGGGCCATTTATCTAGTTGTACATAAAAGTGGAGTAAAAGCACGATTTTAAGCGCTTTTATGCACTTCTATCGCATATATTGTCCATTTTGTTCGATTTTATACACTGAAATTTTTATATGGAAAGTTAAGCGTGTTTTTTAACTTTAAAACAAAATTTTGACAACCCCAACTGAAATGAAACTTTACTTGCTCAATCTCAAAACATTGTTAATTAGTACCTTATCATAACATTGAAAAGCACCAATTCCAGGGAATTTCCATGTCCCATCCTGCTCTGGATACGAAGGGTACCTTAGCTCACCGGCTGGACCCATCCCCACTTGAATTTCCTGCAACCAAAAGTGCAAACAGTGGATCAAAGCATGCTTTACATAAACCAAGAAACCATATTTCTTGCCCACTATATTGCGAGGAAAATAAATTTACCACAATTGTATCACCGATAAGATGCTGAAAATTGTCCCTGAATGCAACCATGAACTCTGTATAACATTGCAGAGGTGATCGACCTTTCAAGACCGGAAGAGTATCGGACCCGAGCGACAAGTACTCGAAGTTCCTCCTACCCCATTGATCCGTATAAGCAAGATCTTGATCATTATTCATCTCTTCCACGACCCACTTAGGCAAAGAAATACTGTAGTAACACACATACATAAACAAAACCATCAATTGCACATAAAGAAAAATCAGATCAAATTAATCAAAGAATGCGCCGGAGCTAGCTAGCTAACTTGCAGGAGTCGCCGACATTGCCACCGCACTGGTGAAACGACATGACGGCCTGGACCTTCAGCCCGATTCCACCCGCCATCTCCATGAGCTCTGAATAACCGCCCCAATTGTAAATCCTCGGTGCGTCTCCCTCCACCAAGCCCCACCAGACGTCAACCATAATCCCTTCCACGCCGGCGCTCTTCAGTGCTTGCAAGCTCATACCCATCGCCTTCTTCCGATTCATGGCGTTGCTTGGCGTCACGCTGTCGAGTGGCATCATCACGAACACCGGAACCCCATTGTGGTGATTGTTCTTCCGCCCGTCCTTGTTGCTTGATCTGCCTCCCTCCTGATGCACCATCGATTCCTCGGCCTCAACCTCCGCTACCACGGCGGGCGACGTCTCCACGTGTGCCTGACGCGTAATTGTACGCGAGCCTCCGCCGTCGATCCTTCGGTCCCTGCAATTGATTGTGCCCTGATTGGGGGGTTTTAGGAAGACGGAGGTGATTGTTTCGTATGCTGCTGAGGCCACAGTTTCTACTATGAGCTGGGATCCGTGTAGAGTTCCAGTTCGGTGAGCCACGTTCAATGCCATTGTTTGTTCCTGAGATGAACAGGGGAACCGAGAAATGGAGAGAAAAAAACAGAGGAATTGAAGAAGCGGAATTCAGGTGGTGGAAGGAAGGCAATTGGTTTGTTTTTTTGGGAAATTGGAAATATGGGTTTTGAAAGGGAGGATGAGATCTTTCGTTTAAAAGATCATCCTCTCTTTTCTTGAATGGTGATTGTGGTGGTTTTCTACGTAGCGTCAAGCTCTGGTACGAACAGAGGAACAGAGTCTTGTTACAGGCATTTATGCTATCTTGATGTCGTGCAAATGTTCTTTTCATTCAACGATAGTGCGGTGGTGGCGGGGGGACTGAAGATTCAAAGCCTCAAAGGGGGCAAGAAGCTAAATTGTTTCCATTTTAAATTTAGATGTGCATCTTTCTACCATGAAATGAATGTCAGCTATTCATTACTGCAATTTGATTGGTTTGAATTCTTGGACGATAATTCATTCTTATCCTCCCTAATTCCAAGATTATATGAATAAGTCTATATCTCAAATCTATATTAGTGTAGATTTTATATATATAGCTAGGTAGGGGGAATACATAGGATGATAACAAGTACATTTTTATTATTATCATGTTTAAGGCAATAATGAAGATGATTTCATGGAGGAAAATACTAAATGAAAAATTAAAATTTTATCAATCGTATATTTTATAAGTATTATTCATAAATTTGTTAAATTTCAAATAACAATTCATCAAAACTTGCATTCGCAGAAATCATAAACATCTTAATCAATGTACGACAAATGGTTTTACTAGAAGTCCTCTAGAGCCTTTTGCCTTTTGATGGTATGGCTAAATCTCCTAGTGTGTTTCTAGTGCTCCTACAATTTCTGAGGGCAGGCGTGGAGTTTATTCATAATCATAGGTTAACTTTACTTGATAAAGAAGTAACTTAACATGCCTACACAAATGTTCATGATCAAGCAATGCTTGTGTGTATTTAGAATTTATTTACTTGGAAATAATTTTCTTGAAAGAGGCCCGAGCTTAGCTTAACTAGCGCAACCGTTCGGTCACCAAAACATGATAAACATGAAAAGGGTGACAACATGGACCTTCATCATGGTGGGAGAGCTAGCTAGGCAATTGTCTGGTACCAACATACTTGATAACTTGCGGTGGAGGTTCTCACATGGGAAACATGATACCACGCACTCTAAACTTTTAGGAAGTACCTCATAACTAGGACATGACCTACTTATCTGAAAGAGTAGGTAACATAACATGAGACTTCTCATTTTGGGAAGTGAGGTGGTCACGTGCGTAGCTAGTTAAGTGAGAGTTAAAAACATATTCTTGCTTACTTGTTAATCACAAAGATCATTCTCATAGTGGGAGATTGAAGTATTAACTTGCTTGACATAATATCTTATGCTTGATTTTCTTTACAATTCAGGACAATCCGACATTAACTGCGATATTAAAAAATCGGAGGTCGGTCGACCGAAACCTCCAACTCTTCCCATCTATACTGAATGTGGGCCATCAAGTGAACCGCTTCATTCCCCTTTCTTCCCTAGAATCTCCACCAAAGAGCTTTCTTCATGACTCAGTTCTTAACTATTGTTTGACAATCTGTCTCTAGTGGCATGTATTTAGCGAAATGACCCCCCCCCCTCGACGATGAAGCGTATCCCCCATTATCTTACTGGGTGACCTTGACCCTTGTTATTTTTTAGGTCATATCTAGTATTCAGAGTTTGTCCATCTTCACTTGATCTTCCACCATCTTCGATTTCCATTTCCTTCTTGTTCTTTAGAAAACTGCCATTAGGGTTCGTCCTTCGCCATCCCTGACCACCATCCCCGAACCTGATCCTCCTATTGCTAGACAAGCCACATTCACATTAACTTGTTGCGCTTGATGTCACTAGTGGGGGTTCTAATGAAACCAATAATCCTCCATGTATGTTTGTGCTCTCCTTATGTTTGATTTCTTGAAACATTATCTTTTTATGGATTATGCTTGTGATATGCATACTTGAATAAAAAAATATGAAATAATAACTTGATTTAAAGTAAAACTTATAGAGCACTTTTACTATGCTATAAAGCATTGGTGCTTTAATGTACAACTTGAAGTTGTACCATAACGTTAAATGTATAAGTTTAGGTTGTACCATAAGAGAATTTGTACCCTTATGTTATGATACAACTTTACAACTTAAAGTTGTACCACCACATTAAGGTAAGTTCAAGTTGTACCATAAAAGAATTTGTACAAAAGAGTATAGTTACAATCTGAAGTTGTACCATAACGTTAAAGGTACAATTTCAAGTTGTACCATAAAGGCAAAAACCTATAGCACCAATGCTATATAGCATTATAAAATTCCTCAAACTTATAATGATGTACTTGTTTTTGGAGGCAAAGGCTTAAAAGAATAATCATATTTAAATAATAAAAATGGCAACTAAAGGACTTATTTGAGTGACTTGGAATTAAATTAATCTAACAAGTCGCTTTTGAACCATTGCACCTTAGTTATAGCGGGGGATGTAAGTGGCCTAAACAATAGTGGGGATGCAAGCGGCCTCGAATAGAAGGAGACCACCTGGTACGGTGCTTAAGCGTCCACAAAAGTGAGTTGGTTGAGATAAACTTTACACCATCCGAGTTGGCACCCGAGGAGTGCGGAGAGGACCCATTGGTTATCTCCTTCCAGACAAAAAAAAATTCAAAGTCACTAGGGCATTGGAGGACAATGGAAGCTCAGCAGACATCCTATTCTACTCCATTCTCAAGAGCATGAAGAAAAGCGTACAGGATCTCAAGCCCTCAACAACCTATCTCGTGGGCTTTTTAGGGTCAAAGTTCCGGTGTTAAGATTGATAACCCTGCAAGTAACAATAGGAGAAGTGGGGGTGACAAAAACGCGCCTTATGAACTTCCATGTAACTGACTATCCATAAACATACAATGCAATCCTGGGGGTGGCTTCTTGTCAACTTTCTCGTCGGTTCCATCCACCTGTCACTAGATGCTCAAATTCCCCACAGGAGGAAAAGTCGCACGCGTCCAAGGAAACACCCAGCAAACGAAGGAATTCTATCAGACAACCATTGAAAGCTTGGAGGTTGACTTGGTCGACACGCGAGGAGGCCACCCTCGCCCCGAGGGGGTCGAAGAGGACGCAGTGGTAGTTCTAAGTGAAGAAGAGCCCGAGAACAAGTTCAGAATCTCATCTCACCTCCCAGAAGAGAAAGGGCGTGAGCTCTTGTCACTTCTCAAATAATACAAGGACCTGTTTGCGTGGACCTCGGAGGATATGTCGGGCGTCTCGAGGGAACTCGCAGAGCATCACCTGTCGATCAAATACAGCGCGAAGCCAGTGCAGCAGAGAAGAAGAAACGTCTCCCTAGAAAAACAGATGGCACTAGAGGAGGAAGTAAGGTAGTTACTGAAAGTCGGCATCATCAGAGAAGTTAAATATCCAACCTGGCTAGCAAATCCATCTTCGTCCACAAAGTGTCAAGACTATGGGAATGTGCATTGCTTTCACAAACGTTAATGCGGCCTGTCCCAAGGACGCATACCCGCTGCCATGGATAGACCAGCTTATCGATGCAACCGCTAAACAAGAAACCTTGAGTTTCCTCGACATGTTCTCCGGATACCACCAAATACGGTTGTTCGAAAAAGATCAAGAGAAGACCGCCTTCATGAACCACATGGGAAATTTATGCTACACAGTCTTGCCATTTGGCTTGAGTAACACTGGCGCAACGTATCAACGAATGATAGATGTGGTTTTCAAAAGCCATTTGGGAAGAAACATGGAGGCATATGTCGATGATGTACTTGTCAAAAGCAAGGAGGGTGATCACCTGAAGGACTTGAGAGAAACATTCGGCAAGTTAAGGAGGGCGCACCTTCAATTAAACCCGCTCAAGTGTGTGTTTGGCGCGAAAGCAGAGAAATTCTTGGGATTCATGATCACCAGCAGAGGGATTGAGGCAAATCTAAAGCAAATAGAAGCTATACTCAACTTAAAGCTGCCTAAAAAGTCAAAGAGATTCATACGTTCAACGGTAAAATGGCCGATTTAAGCCGTTTATTCCAAGGGCAGCAGACAAGTGCTCCCCATTTTTTCAGATGTTGAAGAAGTCGGCGTCGCGACTTCAATGGAGTGCTGAGTGTGACAACGCTTTCTTCCAACTGACAGAGCAGCTGGCCTGGCCACTAGTCTTGAGCGCTTCGCCTCACAGAGAGCCTTTATATCTATACTTGGAGGTCTACGAGTAAGCAATCAGCTCCGCCTTAGCGTGTAGAGCGAAAGAAAGGAGAAAAGAGGTATGGCACCTTTTCTCGATGGAGCCACTAGAAAAGGAGGAGCGGGAGCAGGAGTGGTTATTGAGACGCCTAAAGGAGTTGTACATGAAATGTTGTAGAGATTTCAAGAGCTAAAAACCAACAACGTGTCGGAATATGAAGCACTCCTCAGCGGTTTCAGAATCGATACAAACTTGGGCGCTTCACGTCTACACATTTATTTCGACTCACTGCTAGTAGTCTACCAAAGTGTTGGAAAATTATGAAGTGAAGGAGGAAGTGCTCGCTATGTTGTCAGGAAAGGTCAGGGGCATTTTGTCTTAGTTGGAAACATGGAAGATGGAGCATATTAGGAGGGAGGACAATCATCATGCGAATGTCTTATCAAAATTAGCAACCGCATGTTAAAGTTTAGGTACCATTATGTAAATATTTAAGCCTTAGTCATTAGGGTTTGCTACGTAACATCTATATATAGCTTCATGTAAACCTGACTCCAAAAATAAATACGATTGACTTTGGAGGGTTTAGGCTCTCCCGTGGACTAGTCCTGGTACTCAGGGAAACCACGTTAAACTTTGTGTCTCGTTCTTTGATATTGCTTGATATGGTATCAGAGCTTGTCTGATCGAAGGATTAGTGGTTTCTCTTCGGGCAACAATCTTTGGCGCAGCAGGGAGGTTTTTTTTAGGGTTCGGTGTGCGTCTTTGCTTGTACGGCGCTGCTTGTGACGACGGATCTCTAGGTTTGGTTGCTCTGCGCATTGGTCAATTGTTTCTCTAGTTTGGTGTTTGCAAAAATGGATCCTAACAAGGTCGACACAGTCGTAACGAAGTTTGATGGGAACAACTTCCCATTGTGGGAGTTCCAATTTCGGAACTTCATTGTTGGCAAGAAATTGACGGCTGTCTTGATGGGAGAA